AATGTTGTATATCAGTGATTGCATGACCTCTGTAGTAGATGCCACACTCAATAAATTAATAATAAATATAGCTCAGATAATCTAAAGAGGCCACTATTAACATAAAATTGCAAAAAGTATTTTAGAGGAAAAGTAGTAGATATAACAATATTGAGTTAGGATGTACTGTACATGTTAGATGAATTTGAAATGATATAAAATAATTCTAAAGACAAAATGCAATGAACAAATATTTTATACTGCAACTGCATAGAATAATATATTATTGTGCCAGATTCTGTTCAGATTCACTGAAACCTACAATCTGACTAGGTGCCAGTGCTAAGAAACCAATGCCATGTAGGTGTAAAACTGTTCTTATTAAGAGCCATGGTGGTGCAGTGGTAAGAATGAAGTATTGCAGGCTAACTCGCTGCTCACTTCCAGGAGTTCAATCTGACCAGCTTAAGGTTGACTCAACCTTCTACCCTTCCGAGGTTTCTGAAATGAGGACCAGATTATTGGAAGCAATATGCTGACTCTGTAAACCGCTTACAGAGGGCTGTAAAGCACTGTGAAACGGCAAATAAGTCTAAGCGCTATTGCTATTAGGACAACTATAGTAACAGAATCTTGCAAGTCTGAATGTGCTTTCTTCCTCACTTTTTTGTGGGATTTTAGGAGAGGCCTATCTGAAGTGTTTTCTTAAAAAAAATAATGATATGGGCTCAAGATGCATTTGTTTGATTATTACCTTGGTAACACATCTTCCCACTGTCCTTCAGGGCCAATCTCTCTGCTTTCCACATCACTTATTTTGTCAGCCTCAGTCCTCTTCCCACATTTCCCGAGTGAGGCCATGGGAGTGAAATGCAAATATCCTGTTCCCTTTTCAGCCAGCAGTTCCTCCAGATCACTTAACAAATTTTGTTACTCATTTATGCCCTGAGGGGTAACTCCCCTACCCTTCCTGTTGCAAGCCTGTTTTTCATCTTCCTGTTCTGGTAATTGTTCCCTCCCCTTTCCATTCTTATATCATGAATGTAGATAAACCGAGGTGTTTTCCCTTTCTCCCACTTGTCAGTTCTATAACCCCCTACAGGAAGTAAAACTTTGCCTATTCTGATTTGCCCCATTCTTGTAATGGAAGATAGTTCATGTGAAATTGGCATACCATTATGGAACATGCATATCTATCGCAGCCTCCTGCAATCTTTCTTACTTAAATTTTTGCCTTTGTATCAGAGTCCAAAATAGTCTCCACTTCATACTCTTCTCTATCTACCAGTATGAACAAAGCTGGAGTCTTCCTAATATGCATAGGGTAGATGATGCGCCTCTCATAATCAAATACTGATGGAAAACAGAATCTTCATTGATGCTAACACATCAGTAGTCACAAGTTTAGCTGGAAAGGGGCCAATAAACTTCAAGTCAAATTTCTTTGACAATCAGGGAGCCAGCAAAAAAATCTGTCGAAAGCCACACTAAAGTAGCCACCTCTTACCTTCATGTCTGTGGTCTGTGTGTATGCTGTCTTTGCCAACTCTAGCTGCTCCTTATAGTAAATTCAGTATGAAAGTGATCTTGGTACAATCTTTGAGAAACTCTACTAGGTTGCCAGCCATAAATAGTTCACATTTGAGTTGGGAAAGTCAGGAATCAGTCCTGGTCTCTTCTAGATTTTTCTGGCAAGTTCCCATGAAAATGCAGAAATACTGGTTGTGCTGCAGGCTGCTGCAGGTTGAGATAAATTCTGTCCAAATGTTGTGTTAGCTGCAGCATGGAATTTTTAAATTGGTTATTTATATATCCACTTACTACTGATGTTCCAACAATGCTGAAGTGTAGTGCCTTGCTGATAGTAGTGGTGTACCTTAAGAATTTTAGACTATCCAGGAATAGGGAGATCTACTGCCTCTCTAGAAAGAATAAGAGATTTTCAAGATTGATCCCAACCCAGTAGGGTAAACCAAACTAGGAAACCAATGTAATATAGATTTAAATCTACTTTTATTAGAATAGCCATAGTAATAGAATCTTGCAAATGGGAAAGTGCTTCCCTCCTCCTTCACTTTTATCTTCATTTGAATTAGGAAATGGTCTGTGTGATGGTTTTTCTTATGTTTATTTCTTGGAATGGCTTCAAGCCATCCTTGCCTGATCATTGCCTTGGTAATGTATCTTCCCACTGTCTTTCAGAATCATTCGCTATGCCTTCTTCTGGAAGGATGTGTAATGTTTGTGTGTAATTATATGCGATGTATTTTAAAAATAGTAACAAATTTACTGTATTTGATTAGATAGATAAAAGTTAATGTAAAGACACTTGCCTTTTTCACAAATAGCCCTCTGGATAAGTAGTGAACTGATGGGGACAGAATTATCCCAAATTGGGAAGATACCTCATAACCCTTGTTTGAGTGTAATAGAACTTTACAAAGAGATTATGGGTAGTTGAGTCATCCATTCTGAGCTACTCCATGTTTCTTACATTGAAGATACATTTTGTGGGTTAAAAGAGTGAACAAAATTTATAAAATAGAATAGAAACAGAAACAGAGTTGGAAGGGACCTTGGAGGTCTTCTAGTCCAACTCCCTGCTTAGACAGGAAACCCTACACCACTTCAGACAAATGGTTATCCAACATCTTCTTTAAAACTTCCAGTGTTAAATAAACTTCCTTCTGTTCATAGTATGTGGACATTTTATGTCAAAGAAAAAAATATCCATATCCTTGAGGCAATAACTTTTTACTGTGCTACTAGAGTATTAATTTTAATTTTTCAAGTATCCTG